CCCCAAAACCCCAAAACCCCAAAACCCCAAAACCCCAAAACCCCAGTTTGGGCTCAGATGTTGAACTATTTTAGCAGTAAGGGAGACTTCGAATTTGAGATTTGGCGGTTGAGGTCTTGGACTAGTCTGGTCTAGAGGGTTAAGTTTGTGGGGGTACGTGGATGTCTTGTTGGTTCCTTTTGGTAGTGTGGGAATTGTTCCTTATAGAGCAGTTGGTGCTGCTATGATATTTTGGTTGCTTGCTTACCTTCTTATTACGGAGTCATCATTTTTATTAAAGCTGAGTTTAGGCATCGGATCATCCATAGACCTTCTGTAATAAAACTATACAAAATTATACAATTTCAGAAGTGAACTTCTTACATTCTTGAATATAGCTCTTTTTGCGCTATGATCTCTGGTTTTCATACTTTTATTTGTCAGAATAGTGCTAAAAAGTTGTGACTGTCTTCACTTAGAATCCTCACGAAACTGATGATCATTTACTGAAGTTGAGATAGATATATTTATGCTTCTATAATATTGTAATTCATAAAATACTGAGGTCTAATTCTTCTCTTGTCATTCACAAGTACAGAGTTCCTCTTCTCTCTTTGTCTTTTAAGGATCATCCTGGAGGCCTTATTTGAATTTCCTGATGTTTATTCTAAATTTAATACAATCAAGCTACTTTATTTTCTTGGAAATGCTCTTTTTATTTACTGAAAACCTTTCTGCCAGGACTCTTCCTCACAGAGAGATTACTCTTGCTCATCTCTCTATTTGAGCCCAAACGGCTTAGATCGTCCTCGTTGATCATTCCTTTATAAGATAGTATCTTTGTGATCAAATTAATTTGAAAATCAAAATTCTCCTTATTTTTAAGGATAAGATGTGTAATCTTGCTCCAAAGCTTATCACTAATAAATTTCGAGTACTTTTCATCATCTTTCTTAGTAAGCTTCTTAACCACTGGGGAATACTTTTCATGAAAATCCTCTTCATACTCCAAATGTTTATTTAAGATTCACAAGTTTGTTATAAGGTGTGATAAAGTAGTCAATTTTCTCTTGAATTTCTTTCGAAAGTCTAAAGAGATACTCACAACTTGTTTATAAACTTTCACTTACAGTGGATCATTCTTGACCTCAGATAAATTTAGCAGCTTCTCTTTCAACTTCAAGCTTTGAGAGAAGTTATTGATTCTCCTTGAGGCAACTGCCTTGCTTTCATCAATAAACTTATCAATATTTATTTTTCTGAAATTTCTTTTTTCCGAGATATTTTTAAGCCTGAAAAAATTGCCTAAAGTTTAAACCCTCTCTAAAGCCTACTCTTGTCAGACCCTTTAGGGGTGATTCTATCTCGCCTATTCTTCAAAAGCTTTCTTTTTAAGTCCTTGTTCCTTTTTGGGCTTCTAGTAGACATTTCTGAATAAAGTTCAATATAATTTTAAAGAAGTGGGGTTTTGGGGTTTTGGGGTTTTGGGGTTTTGGGG